AGCGTTGGTATGTACTTAGCGTTTTTTCTAATACGTATTTCTCTTTTATTTTTGCTTGGCCCTACTTGTCATTATGATAAGTAGATAGTTGATGATAACTCGACGTGATCTAAATGTGGCATTGGGGATGAAGGGCGATAATCATGTAGTCTAGGTTTCATGGTTGACTTTTTTATGAAAAGTTCTCATATAGTTCAATTTAAAAGCTATTATTACTATTATTATTAATATAGAAAAGTTAAGTATGCATTTCTTCTGGTGCAAATCTCTGTTTTGAAAAGCCTAACGTAATCACGTGGTGGTAATATCCCTAAGTTTCTCTCTAAATCATGTTTTATAATAATTATTATTGGAGAGTAATTTGGGAGTGTTACAAAATGTTGGTGCGTAAACATATCTATCAAATTATTACATCATGAATAAAATCAGTGGCAGATTAGTTTTTTTTTTTAATCAATGAAAAGTCATACGACATCTATAAAGAGATTTAAATATAATTAATATATGAAAATTGAATCAAATAAAAACATTATTTCATCAAATCTACGATAATTATTGCAAATCGTACCTTCTTTATACCCTCTTTCATATTGTTGTGATTTAAAACCTTTTTCGACGAGGGGGTCTATAGATCTGTTATAGTCATGAAGAAAATTTCCGACTAATTCATCTGATTGTAATCAAAGGATTAACCTCTTTCTTAACTCCGCACAAATCTTTAACCATACTAAACTCAAAAAATAAAAATAAAAACAAAAAAAACTCATTATAGGGGCACTTACTACACTCAAACCCACTATAAGAGTACTTACTACCATCAAAGAGTGTAGAGTTATTATATTCAATAACCAAAAACATGAAGAAATTAAAGGGAAGGGGTTGGAAATAGCCAAATCTCGGGCCTATGAAATACTTTTTTTTTAAAGAACCCTAGAGAGAAAAAGAAATTATAACTAGAAAGCTATTTTCACCGCACTTATTGACAGAATATGGAAGAAGCTACAGGGTTGGAAAGAGAAATTGCTTTCAAGAGCAGGAAAAGAAGTACTTTTGAAGTCAGTGATACAGGCAATCCCGACTTATTTAATGGGTGTGTACAAATTCCCGAGCTTGAAATTTAATACCATCCAATCATATATGGCTCGTTTTTTCTGGGGGTATGGTGGTTTGAGCCGGAAAATCACTGGAAATCATGGGAATATATGTGTACACCAAAATGTTTAGGGGGGATGGGGTTCAAGGATCTTGAGGTTTTTAATGAGGCGTTGTTCGGAAAACAAGCCTGGCAATTGATACAGTATGAAAGCTTTCTGTTGAGCAGAGTGTTCAAGGCAAAATACTACCCAAACTCATCATTCCTTGATGCGTATTTGGGGGTGGGGGGGGGGGGGGGGGAGCTATTCTTGGAGGAGTGCCAAGGCACTTGTAAAAGAAGGCTTGCTATGGCGTGTTGGCAACGGAGCAAAGATAAACATCTGGAAGGATCCTTGGTTGGCAGATGCTGAAGGAAGGTTCGTGACATCTACAGAAGTCTAAGAATTTAAACAAGTTTCTGATCTAATTGATATGCAGCCGAAGGAGTTGGATTTTACCTTGATTTCTGCGACCTTCAATGAGCAGGACCAGCAGTGCATTTTATTAATTCCGGTGAGTATGAGATCACCTCAAGATCAGCTTACTTGGGCCTTCTCTAAAGACGGTTTGCACTCTACCAAAACGTCTTATATGCTTGGGAAAGGTTGTAATTTTGATGACTCACATTGCGTGGGTTGAAATTTGGGGCATGGATGTTTCTCCAAACATACGTCACTTTCTTTGGCGCCTATGTACAAACACTCTACCAACTCGAGCTTTATTGAAGTCAACGCACTTGATTTAGGAGGCTGGGTGTCCATGGTGCAGCGAGACAGAGGAAACAAGTTCTCACGCTCTTTTTGATTGTGTTCGGGTTCAGGAACTATGGGAAGAGTGTGACTGCGTGAGCTTGCTGCAGAATAGGGAAGGCTCTATGTGTGACCTGCTAGAGCACTGGAAGAACGTTGATGCCAAATTGAAACAGAAGGCAACCTTCTTGACATGGGTTATCTGGGCTGAGAGAAACACTCGAGTGTTTGAAGGAAAAATTACATCCAATGCTTTGTTGATTGCAAGGGTTGATAGGCTTGTGGATGAGCAGGGGAAATACAGCAAGAAGATTTATGGGATTGCTCAAGCTAGGGGCTGCAAGAGTCCATCAAGATGGTTTGCCCCGCCACTTGGTGTGATCAAAATTAATGTAGATGCTAGCATTCAGCTATTCGAAGGGTCAAGGCCTTTTGGCCTCCAGAGATAGCACAGGGTAGAGCACTCCTTATGGCAGTCAAGCTAGCACGAAGGTGGGGCTATAATGATGTAATTTTGGAGTCCGATTGTGAAGTGCTTATTAATCGCCTCTCAAAAGCTGCGACTTATTTCTCTGATTTTGATATTGTTTTGATGATATTTTGTCTTTAAGTAGTACTTTTAATTATTTCAAGTGGTCCCATGTAAAGAGTCGTGGCAACTATGTTGCACATCATCTTGCTAGAGTAGTGTCATTTGGGGTTGAGCAAGTGTGGGTCAATCACTGTCCCATGGAGATTTCTCCTTATGTAATCTCGGACTCTTTGTCCATTAATTAATATTATGCATCGGCGTTGTCCTAAAAAAATGAGTAACTTGACAATTTATTTTCAATTTTAAATCAATAATTTTTTCTTCAATTTTTATAACAAATGTTTTTTTTAAGAAAATTAATTAAGTTGGTCAATTGACCACTAGCACCATCGCACGACCACCGTACTTCTGTTAACACCATCGCGCGACCACCGCACGACTATTAGCACAACCACCCAACCACTAACACCACCACAAGAGTAAATTCCTTTTCTAAAGGATTAGCACGGGCCCAATTTACATGCTTTGCGAATAGGTTGTTTTATTTGGTCAGTCGACCATATTACAGTCGCGAAGGTGGTTGTGCGACAGTGGTTGTGCAAAGGAGAAAGAATGAATAGCTTTGGGAGGGGAGGAGATAGAAGGAATTGCTTTGGGAGGGGAGGAGATAGAGCATAGAAGGATATTATTAACATATTTTGTTAGTGATATAAACTAGGTCTGGCTCTAACACCACACAAACACACACACCCAATATGTCAAATATTAGGGCATGAAAGTGAGCGTTTTCATTATGTATACTTTCTCCTTTTTTTAGTTGCATCACTTTGTTAATTGCAGTCCAAAAAAAATGAATCCACGGAATAGGAGAGAGATAGAAAGAGTTTATTAACTAAAAACGAGAGTATGCAACTAATTTTAAGCTTTTGTTTAAAAAAAGTAAGTTTGCCACATTCTTGTAAAAAAAAATGACACATTAATTGATGACTGATCCTTTTCTTTAAAAACAAAAGCATATTGTTGAGCCTTTTGATTTTGATGGACAAATTGACAAACTCGACTAATGAATGTTTTGAGTCTTTGGTGAATAAAGGGTTCAAGCAAAGTTCGTTCCGGAGTAGGAACTTGGATGCGGAGTAGCATTCTCTAAAAAGCCTCATGCAAATCTCACGTTCTAGTTTTAATTGTCAGCACTCAATAATATAAAGTCGGAAAGGAACTCAATGACTTATGTTATTAAAAAGACTACTGGAATAAAAGTTAGTTTTAAAAGATAATTTCTTAAAGAAAAGATAATTTATAAAAGTTTTATTTAGTCATCTATTTTTGAATAAAGATAATTATCGAAGATAATTATCTAGTTGTTTTAATATAAATAATAAATTTATCTTTTCAAATAAAATCTTTTAAAACAAACTTTTGATAATCTTTTTAAACAAATTTTTGATAAAGTTAGCAAGCAGCGAAAATCTCTGATTATACGTTTTTTCATAGCTAATGTTTATCAAGTTGTTGAGATAGTGGATTAGTGAGATAAGGCTAGGAAACCTCCTTCATGATCACCATCTGTCAAGATAACTCCACAAGTTGTTAGTGGGGTGTTGGCATGTGGACGTGATTATAGTGGAGGTTAATGACTAAGCCTTCTCTATAAATACTCATGCAAACTATCTCAGAAAAACATAACTCTTGAGCATAAAAATTCCAGTAGCCATCTAATAACATAAAGAGAGTTATTATCCTTCTTATATTCTTGAGTGCAATAGGTATTTGTAATCACAGATTGTATTCAAGTACTTTGGGGTTGGGATTGTGAGTTTGTGTAAGGTGAGGTCAAGGAAGCTTCGTTGCTGAAGTCTTCTGTGAGAGTTGGGAACAAGTTCCTAATTTGTGGAACTTGTTAACGGGTTTGAATCTTCACTTGTAAAGAGTTTGATTACATAGTGGAAATTTAGAAAAGCCTATATCTTCTCTCGTTATTATTTCATTTAGTTAAATTCCGCAAAAAAGTTTTAAGATTTCACCTCAAATACAATTCACCCCCCCCCCCTCTTGTATTAGCCAGTTAGACTTTCAGTTGGTATCAGAGAGGGAACTCAGAGCACGCAGGCAACCCTGTTGAGTAAGTTCCTGGGAAAATGGCTTACACAGAGGAAAAGGAATTCGGGAGTACATCCATTCAAAGGCCTCCATACTTCAACGGCAAATATTATCCTTATTGGAAGGATAAGATGGAAATCTTTATCCAAGCAGAGAATTATCAGGTATGGCGGATTATACAAGTAGGAGATTACGAAATTACAAAAACGAATGCCAACAATGAGGTAATCCCTAAACCTATGGATGAATATGAAAAAACTGATTTCGAAAAACTAGAAATGAATGCTACTGCCAAAAAGTTTTTAATTTGGGGACTTGGACCCGATGAACATACTCGTGTCAAAGGGTGCAAGTCCGCAAAGGAAATTTGGGATCTTCTGGAAGTTACACATGAAGGAACGTCAGATGTTAAACGTTCCAAAATAGACATTCTTTTGTCTCAGTATGAGCGCTTTGAAATGGGAAACAAATAATCCATTAAAGACATGTTTACTCGATTTAAAAGTATTACTAACGAACTAACGTGTCTTGGTAAGATAATTCCTATAGATGAGCAGGTCAGAAAGGTCTTAAGAAGTCTTCCAGACAATGAAAGATGGAGAGCAAAGGTTGCAGCTGTGCAGGAATCAAAAGACTTCACCAAGTTCGATCTAGAACAGCTTGCGGGTTCCCTCATTACCCACGAGATCCAGTCGAACAATCGAACTCAGGAGACTGTCAAAAGTCAAGGGCTAGCACTAAGAGCTAATGAAGAATCCGAAGAGAAGTCTGACATTGATGAAGAAGAAGCTGCAATGTTGGTGAGAAGGCTGAAAAAATTCTACCGTAACAACAAGTTTTTAGACAAGAAGAAAGGATACAGTAAAAGAAATCAGGAATCCAAAGCCAAGTCTTCTTGTCACAAATGTGGAAGCATCAACCACTTCATCAAAGAGTGTCCATTATGGGAATCTAAGAAAGGCAAGGGAAAAGAAGCTGATCAAAACAGAAACTCCAAGCCTAACTTTTCTAAAACAAATTTCAGGAAAGCAATGATTTCCACGTGGGGAGAATCAAGTTCCGAAGAAGAGGAACAGGAACACACAGACGATGAAGTAGCCAATCTCTGTCTAATGGCAAAGCATGATGATGAGGTAGTCATTCAACCTAGTTATTTGAAATCTCTCTCAAAGGATAAATTAATCTCTTCATTGTTAGAAACCTTAGATGAATATAAAGAATTATGTGCAAAACTAAGGCAAGCCGAAAAGGCAACTGGAATTTGTAGAGATCATGTTAAGTATCTGAATAGCTTAAGAAATGATGTTCAAGGCAGATTCTTTGAATTGTTAGATAAAAATATTATGCTAAAAGAATCCCTTGAAAGAGTCAAGAGTGAGAATATCATGCTGAATATTGAATTGACTCAATATAAAATGCTGTGTACTAACATTGATTCTTGCAGGTCTACTGAAGTTCCTTTAATCATGTTTAATAATGAACTAGAGCATGTTAAGAAAGAGATAAAGGATACTAATGATAAAAATGAGAAACTAGAAAAGGACCTAGCAATTGCAAGAAAAAGTAAAAATACAGCAAGCACGGGTGTTCCTAAGTGGGTACAGGAAGCTCAGACAAAAAGAACAGAAGGTCTAGGCTATGGCCATAAGAAGAAGTCTACTGGAAAGAAAAAGAAGTATGTGGATTTGCCTAGTGAGACTGTTTGTTCATTTTGTGGTAAACAAGAACATCGCAGTGAAGAATGTACTAAGAAAGCAAATCAGTACAATAAGAATGTGAACCATGAATGAAAGGGTTCCTGCTACTAACCCTTAATTTCTTTTGCACGTCGCAGTGAGGGGGAACAACCAGTGGTACCTCGATAGCGGTTGTTCTAAGCACATGACAGGAGATGAATCCAGATTTCTCTCACTGACGGCCTATACAGGGGGAACAGTGACCTTTGGAGACAATAAGAAAGGCAACATTGTTGCTGTTGGCAAAGTAGGAAGGTTAAGTTCCCATGAAATTGACAATGTATTTTTAGTCGAGGGTTTGAAGCATAATCTACTCAGTATTTCTCAGTTTTGTGATAAAGGAAACTCTGTAAGCTTTTCTTCTGAAAAATGCAAAATCAGCAACAATAACACTGGAAAAATCGTTTTGGAAGGAACTCGTAAAGGGAACACGTATACCGTGGACCTTAACAAAGTTCCAAAATACAATCTATCTTGTTTAAGTGTTATTGAGGATGATCCACTTCTATGGCATAAACGTTTTGGACATGCTAGTCTTTCATTGCTTGACAAATTAAGGTCAAAGGACTTGGAAATCGGACTACCATCTATCAAGTTCCTTAATGATAAAATTTGTGAAGCCTGCATCAAAGGAAAGCATGTTCGATCATCGTTTAAATCAAAGAAAATGGTAAGCACCACAAAACCATTGGAACTCATTCATATGGATTTGTGTGGCCCCGTTAGAATTCAAAGTAGAAGTGGAAAAAGATATGTCTTAGTTCTTGTGGATGATTATTCTAGATTTACATGGGTCATATTCTTACATAGTAAAGATGAAACTTTTGATATGTTTATGACTTTCTTGAAAAAGGGCTTAATTAGGCTAGATTTTATTTCTACTGAATGTCAAATTGCTGATATATTAACTAAGCCTTTAAGCAGAGACAAGTTTGAAAAGATGCGTGTGGAATTGGGGATGCTACGGCTAAAGTGATTTTTGTTTGGAACCCCTAAGGTAAAATCGGATGTAACTAACAATGCTATGCTCAATCTTGTGTGCTTAACACAGCTGAAATTACCCAGGGAAAAGATTTGTGAAGTATTGAAAAGTCACTTATACATACTTTTGATATGTTCAAAATATTGAGCCATGTTGTTTCAAGTTCCCTTTTCATCATTCTTTATTCTCTGTATTATGATCACGTAAATTATCATCATAATTTACGATCCATTTGCACTTACCTATTTGTTTTTATATTGTTAATTTGTTATCCTTCTTGTTATTATTTTTTTTTGCCTTCCTTATTTTTTATCTTTTATTCTTATCTTTTATTCATATTTTTATCTTTTTTTTTTCTCCTTATTTTCCTTTGTTCAGTTCTGCTTTCTTTTGAAAATTCAAAAAATACAAAAAGATTTGATTTGTTACGTAAGATAAGGAGCATGTATATCAACTCCTTAACTTACGACTTTATTTTATCAACATTGAATTAGATGAGTGCAATTATTTCACCAAATTAAATCCTACTACCTCTAAAACTACCCCACTACTTCACCTTTTAAACCGTCACTTTTCTTTCTCAATCCTCCCAATTAAACTCTTCTTCTTCTTTTCACTCCACCTTCACCTATCAAATCAATTAAACTCCCCATAAACTCCCATAACCGGCCTCACTCTCTCTCCTTCCTATTCACACTATTCATCTTCTCCTTCCCTTCATCTTACCTTCAACACTATGAAAACCAACCGAAACACCACCCCAAAAACCCGATCACCACCATCCAAACCCTCCTCAAACACGGGGTCTCCACAACCGGTGCCAATTGCGGTGGTGCATCCATCTGCTCAGCCAAAGAGGAAGGCTAAGGCTGTGAAGGGCGGCGACAGGAAACGGCGCGCAACCACCAAATTCCCATCATGGAATTACACTCTCGGATATCACATCAACTATGATTGGTGTGTGGCGAGTAAGTTCACTGAATTTACTTCTTTAATTGATTATCAAAAATGGACTCACTTGTTCCAGAATTGTTCTCATTACCCTATTTATCCTAAATTTATTTATGAGTTCAAAAATACCTTTCAATGTGATAATGGTGTGTGCTCGGCCGTAGTTAATGATATTCCAATTTCGTTTGATGCCAATTATCTTGGAAATCTATTTCAAGTTCCTGTTAAAGGCTATTGTTCTTATTTAAAGCACAAACAATCTGTAAACATTGGCCATAATGATGAATGCAAAATCCTTCAATTTATTGGAGGAAATCCGAAAGTGAAAACTACTCACCATCATGCCCTAACACCCCTTAATAAGCTACTGTTTACCTTCACCTGGAAGGGTATAGTACCCCGTTTACAAAAACGGAGTACCGTATCACTCTTGGATGCCTCCCTCATATTCTGTCTTGCATGCAAAATACAGATTAATTTCCCTGCTCTAATGATTGAACACTTGAATTTTTATGCTCAAAAGACCACAATTCCATATGGCTCTTTCCTTACTGTGTTGTTCAAATCTTTTGGTATTGATGTTGAATGTGAATCCCCAACATATCTCAAACCCGATAATATCCTCTCTGAACAATCATTACTTAGACTGAGTCTTAGGCTTACAAATGGCAAAGTATGTTTTGTGCCTCGGAAAGGAGGGGAGAAAAAGAAAGGGAAAGGGAAAGAAGCTGAGGAAGAATGTGATGCAAGTGATGAGGAGGGCGGTGACCAGGGTAGTGAGGATGCTAGTGAGGGTGCTACCACCTCCAGTGATTCTGAGGGAGATAAGGAAGAAGAAAAAAGTTCTAACGGAGAGAAAAACAAAGAAAAAATACTTGAGGGAGATGTGCAAGGAGAAAAACAGGAAGATTCTGAGGGGGAACATAAGGAAGTGTCTGAGGGGGAAACTCAAAAATCTGACTCACATGAGGGGCAGGGAACTGATCAAAGTGAGGGGGAACATACCACAGACTCTGAGAGCACAGCTGGACCACCTGTCATTCCTGTGTCTACAGGGGGCCTTAGAAGAAGTAAGAGGAATGTGGTCAAGCCTGCCCTTTCTACTACACACCCTGTGACTGTAGAAACCATCAGCTCCTCAGACAAATCTGATCCCACCTTCACACCTACCCAAGTTCCCTCTTCCACTGAACCCTCTTCTATTCCCGTCTCACCTACTAGGCAGCCTCCTCATTCACCTTCTCCTCCTCCATTTCAGCCTACTGGCTTTGCTGCTTTCTCTGGAACTCGTGTGTCTGTTTATGATTTTCAACAGGTTAAAGCAGATATGGAGAAGTTGACTACCCTGGTGAGCAAGAAACTGGAGGAAATGGCCTCGGAATTGCTTTCTCTTAAAGGCCAGGTGCAGGCTCTGGCAGAATCTCAAGCAACCGGATTTGCAGGCGTGGAGGCAAAGCTTGCACAGGCTGAAGGCAAGTTTAGTGAAGGCAACAAGGAGATCTTGGAAACTATCAACAAAGTAGCCTTTGAGGAAGTCGAGGAAGACTCTATTGATCCCACAAATCCAACCCTTGATCCTACCAATGCAGCCTCTTAAATCCTTGATTGCACTTATTCTAATTTCATATGTTGAACAATTTTATTTTGGTTTTGTTTAATCTCTCTTAACTTTGGTTTGTACGCCTTTATCCTTTGCTACATTCTCTATGTTCCTCTTCTATTTCCTAAATCGGAACTTGGCTCGTATTTTTCATATGATTGTGTGTGTTTGCTGATAATTTGGTACCTAACTTATTTTTGCCTTGCATTATTTGAGCTCACTATTCCCTACGTAGTCTAGTGGGAGTATAGCAAAATGTTTTTTTTCAATCTTTTGATAATGCCAAAAGGGGGAAAAGACAAACTTCATGGCGGCTAAAGTGTTTACCAAGGAACTCACACATCGAAGGTACAAACTTTTGCTAAGTTCAGTTTTTAAAGTCTTTGTTAATTTTTCTTTTGCTCAGTTTTTTTTTTAAAAAAAAAAAATAATAATAATAATAATAATAATACTTTTTAATATTTTTCTAAGTTCTTTAATTATTTTTTTTGGTTTTCATGTCTTGCTTTAAATTTTTGTTGCATGCCTTGATGATTTTATTTACCTAAGTTTGTCAATGTTTGTCATCATCAAAAAGGGGGAATTTGTTGAGCCTTTTGGTTTTGATGGACAAATTGACAAACTCGACTAATGAATGTTTTGAGTCTTTGGTGAATAAAGGGTTCAAGCAAAGTTCGTTCCGGAGTAGGAACTTGGATGCGGAGTAGCATTCTCTAAAAAGCCTCATGCAAATCTCACGTTCTAGTTTTAATTGTCAGCACTCAATAATATAAAGTCGGAAAGGAACTCAATGACTTATGTTATTAAAAAGACTACTGGAATAAAAGTTAGTTTTAAAAGATAATTTCTTTAAGAAAAGATAATTTATAAAAGTTTTATTTAGTCATCTATTTTTGAATAAAGATAATTATCGAAAATAATTATCTAGTTGTTTTAATATAAATAATAAATTTATCTTTTCAAATAAAATCTTTTACAAAAAACTTTTGATAATCTTTTTAAACAAATTTTTGATAAAGTTAGCAAGCAGCGAAAATCTCTGATTATACGTTTTTTCATAGCTAATGTTTATCAAGTTGTTGAGATAGTGGATTAGTGAGATAAGGCTAGGAAACCTCCTTCATGATCACCATCTGTCAAGATAACTCCACAAGTTGTTAGTGGGGTGTTGGCATGTGGACGTGATTATAGTGGAGGTTAATGACTAAGCCTTCTCTATAAATACTCATGCAAACTATCTCAGAAAAACATAACTCTTGAGCATAAAAATTCCAGTAGCCATCTAATAACATAAAGAGAGTTATTATCCTTCTTATATTCTTGAGTGCAATAGGTATTTGTAATCACAGATTGTATTCAAGTACTTTGGGGTTGGGATTGTGATTTTGTGTAAGGTGAGGTCAAGGAAGCTTCGTTGCTGAAGTCTTCTGTGAGAGTTGGGAACAAGTTCCTAATTTGTGGAACTTGTTAACGGGTTTGAATCTTCACTTGTAAAGAGTTTGATTACATAGTGGAAATTTAGAAAAGCCTATATCTTCTCTCGTTATTATTTCATTTAGTTAAATTCCGCAAAAAAGTTTTTAGATTTCACCTCAAATACAATTCACCCCCCCCCCCCCTCTTGTATTAGCCAGTTAGACTTTCACATATGTTATGAAATTATAATGTTTATTTTTATTCTATAAATTTCCATGATGAAAAATGCATATGATAAATTGGCAGTGTGATCGTGTGATGTCTGAGGGTCAACATATCTATTGGCTTTGCACAAAGTGGATATCGTGACTTAAGTGACCTTGTCTCTTTGCTAGCTCTCTCTATTTTTCGTACGAACTATTATAATCTTAAGACTTTTCTTATACCTGGGTCCTGGGGGTAAGCCTGTCTAGCATGGTAAATTGGGAGTCTAAATTGTAATGTATTTCTTTTTTTTTTTTTTTTTAACAAAATGTATTTCCCATTTTATAGCTTGTAAGTAGTACCATGTATCAAATACGGGTCTCTTAATTTTATTTATTTATTATATTTTTTTCCGCAAGAAAGTGCTCTTAATTAGTTTTGCAATAATTCTAGGAGATTCTCATTTTATTTTACGACTTACATAGTTACATTTCATGTGTTAAAAATTGGCAATATATAATTTATTTGTATTAAATATAATATTCTCTATTCTTCCTACAAATAGTTAATTTCACATAATCTACTCATATATATTTTCTTATAAATGTTTCAATTGAAAAAACACTACAACAAGACACTCTCTCTGTCCCTAATTAATTGTTTGCTCCACTTTTCTTTTTAGGGTGTCCTCAAAAGATTGTCTCATACTACTTTTGGCATGTTTTCCCACTTGCACTCTCTCTATCTCTCTCCTTATTGATATTTGTGTCAACCCATATGCACCATTTTTTGCCCAAAGCCTTAGCAAAGTAAATTTATGGTTTGAGGCAAACAATTGGGAACAGAGGGAGTATTTGTGAGATATTACAATTGATAACTAAACATAACTACAATTCCACTCCAGAGTGTGCAACGCAAAAAATACACCATAGTGCACCACCTAAATTATGAGGACTCGGACCTTGTTTATTTCATCTTATTTTTACTTATTTTAGAAAAAATAAGTTCAGATCAGATCAGGAAAAAAAAAAGTTTAGATTAGGTCAGATCAGAAAAAATAAATTCGGATCAAATCATCGTTTCATGTTTCCTCAAAAAAAATTCATCGTTTTATGTGTAGTTTTTTATCGCTAAATATCTTTAATTTCGTAGTGAAAAAAATTATGAAAATTAAACATTACTAAAATACACATTATTACGAATGTAACAAGACCCCACTTGATATATTTTTGGAAAATTTTTAAATTATCACCCAAAAATGTAACCATTTTCGAATTAACCACCCGTTTAATTTTTTATTTTAAATTATCACCCCTTAAATTAAATAAATGCTCATATTACCACCCATTTTTAAAAATCCGGTGTATTTTCCATCAGTGGGTCTCACCTAACGCTTATTTCGACCCTTATTTTGACTGATTTTCCTAGATTTTTCTCTTTAAAAACGTTCTCCTAACTTCAATTCACATTTCCTTCGCCAAATTCTACCAAATTTCACTATAATTGGGGTAATAAGTAGATTTGGGAATTAGGGTTCATGAAATCAAATCGAATTGGGGTTGAAATTGGGGCTTTGAATTCAAATCGAATTGGGGTTGAAATTGAAAGTTGCGCCAACTGCAATTCATTCTTGCAGGCGCTTAGCTGCTACAATTAGCTTCTTTGTGTGGGTTGCTGTTACAGTTGGAGAGGGGGATGCGAGTTGTTGCGCGGATGTTTGCGGATGCAGATGAAATGGGGTCGGAGGTGGGTATTGGCTGGGTTGAGAGGTTCAGTGCTACAGAGTTGTTGGTGTGTTGAGTTGTTGTAATGGGTTAAATCAATGAAGGAAGCAGCACGGAGATAAAATTACGAGCGAATGAAGTGAGCGTTGGATCCCATCAATAGCACAGAGGTAAAGGTCAACTTCATGGCGGTCGCCGAAGAAAATAATCTTATCACAAGCTTCCTCGGAAACAGTGGAATCCCATCGGAGAATGATCTTCTCCGCCGTCTCAACCACCTTCTCTTCTCCGGAGCCGCCATGTTAAGCTTTTCGTAGTGAGGGGAGGAGAGAGAAAATGAATGAGAAGGTTGACAGTGTAATGGTGGTGATATGTTTTTTTTTTTGTCTGAAGTTGTAAAATTAAGGGGTTTAGAAAATGAAATTATATCAGTGTTGAATTCAATGAAGGAAATGATGATAGGTTGAGTGAATTATATCAGTGCGATGATTAAATCAAAAGAAAAAATAAAGGAAGGAAGTTACTCAGGTGGAAAATCCCCCGGATTTTTAAAATAGGTGGTAATCTGAGCATTTATTTAATTTAAGGGATGATAATTTTAAAAAAAAAATAATAATTAACTGGTGGATAGTTCAAAAATGGTTACGTTTTTGGGTGGTAATTAAAAAAAATTCCTATATTTTTTTTCCGTATAGATTATCTTATATTTAAGGTCAAATTTGACATTTACATCAGATAAACAAAAAAAAAAAAAAAAAAAAAAAAAAAAAAAAAAAACCTAATCCAAATGTTAAAGAATGCAGGTTAATATTTGAGAAAAACAAAGGTTTTTTTGTCAATAAGCCCATTACTTAGCAGTTACAATGTTTGTGAAGGAGAGACATAGGGTCATATACTTCCTCCGTTAACGGTTAATTGCAACAATTACTAAAAATGGGTACTAAGCTTTAATTGCAACAAAAAAATTTCTTTCCTTTTTTGATAAGTTTTCTTTACCAAAATGACCAAAAGACCCTCACTTAAAAATTATTAACACATAAAACTATACATAACTACAAATCATTATAATCCTAATTTAACTTAATTAAAATCACATTCATCCCTATTCCCCATTATCTTTCTCTCTCCTCCTTCATCTTCATCTCTCATTTCCCCATTATATTTCTTTGTCCTCCTTCAACCATTCTCATCAATTGAAGAAGAAGACCACCTTTTTATTATTCAATTTCAGATCTGGGTTTTGGCCTTTTGGGGGTCAAGCAAGTGTTTTGTGGGTGGTGGTTTTGTGGGTTGGTGGTTCGTGGTGGTGGTTCGCATGGGTGGTGGGTTAGTTTGTGGATTTTGGATTTGGGTTCGCTTGGGTAAGTTATGTGGTGGGTTTGTGGTGGTGGGTTTGCGTGGGTAAGCTAGGTGGTGGGTTCGGGGGTTTGTGGTGGATTTGGGTTCGCGTAGGTGAGCTAGGCGATGGTTTCTGGGTTCGTGGGTGGTTTTTGGGTTCGTAGGTGGTGGTGCTTGGTGTTCTGTTTAATTGTGGTTTTAGTTTTTGTTGGATTAATATCAAGTATATGCCCTTACTTTTCATTAATCATAGTTAAGAAATTTTACCTTGGGTTCCGTGCACACCCTCTTTGTTGTAATTAACCGTTAACGGAGGAGGAATATAAGTTCTTCCAAAATGACTACAATATTCATTTGTAATTATTCAAACTAACACGAATTTTACCCCTTCCTATGTCAGAATATGCATGGTACAGAAACCATTATACACCGAGGATGAGCACATCTTAGGGAAAGTATAAACAAAACAAGAGGGGTTGAATGGAGCGTTGGCCACACTAGTCACTTCCTCCCATTAGACAGCAAAAGTTTGATTAGAGTTCAAACAGGGGAAAGGGCAGCTACATAAGACCCATTTGAATATTTCAACGCCTTCAAACATGTGGAATGTAAGCCAGAATTTACCACAGCTGCTGAAATACCAAATGCATAGGCAGTATCTTGTGAATCTCCAGTTGTCTCATCAGTGTTACTGTTGGATTTTTGGCTGACGGCTTCAAGAGCAGCATTCAATCCCATTGTGTTAGGGTCTGTCACAAAGCTGCATGAAACCAGAGAAAGAGTCATTCAATACGTCAATATCTAGTTTGCAACATCATCTACCAAACCCACCCCCCCCCCCCCCCCCCAAAAACGTAAAAGACAGATGAGCACACACCATGCCTCAAAACTTCTCCCCTCAGAACCCATCACAGCACATAGGGAAGAAACTATCCAAGGAGGAAGATATGCATCCTTTACTTCAATGCTGTAGCAGATACCAGTCTTTAAAGCAAATGATTCCCCATCTTTTGCCAATGATCCTTTTGACTGCAAAGTATCAACTCTCCTAATCTCCTTGCACCTGATCTGCAAAATAAAATTTACATGCTGAACAAACACAAAAACCAGACAATTGAATTGATTTAGAGGTACAGACCATTTAGATTGACCAAACCACTTTAATATCAAAGATATAAACTAGAACCATCTTTGATTCCGTTTTAATGTGGTGCTTAGCATTCAGACATCTTACTGCGCATGATTAACGAATAATACCTCAGAAAATCCCTAATTGTTCATTATAAAGGGGAACTTGGTTCAAGTATTGCGTAAGGAAAACTGTCAGTTTCAGCATTTGTTGATGAATTTTCAATGAAAGATGTAAGTCAAATTTATTTACCGAATAATTTGAATAGAATAGGGGCAAAATAGCACGATCAACAATTTTTAATCGATATATACATCTTGCTGCATTTGACAAATATACGCCAGGTGATTAAGAATGCAAAAATAATTCACCTGTGGGGAAGATAGAGCAGCATTAAGAAAAGGAATAGGAGAACACAGCACAGGTACATCCATATTGCTCAAAGTTGTCAACAAAGACCTGTAGAAACAAACAGCCCAAATGAAATGCTGACAGAAATCTCAATTCTAAGTATCTAACAGCCAAACTCCAGGCTTATGTACCTATAATTTAATAGAAAATCATATAGGCCATGAACACTTTCATTTCCGTTGAATGCTAACAAAGATTTTGGGCTGTTGTCCACGTCAGGCATAGAACCAAAACGTTTAGCCTGCACAGGTTGATTTCAATAACCAAAAAAAAAAAAAAAAAAATTAGAAACAGAATTAGTATATCCACAAGAAATTAAGATGAACTGTAGTCACTACTCAGTACTCACTAGTCAGTCACAAAAACTGTTTTACTTTTGTTTTCTGATTTTGTTTTTATTTTTTATACCCTAACAAATAACTTTCTTGCTATTTCTGGTTGATATGAGAATAACCTATGAAAAAGAGATGCTTGACTTGCAAAATAAAGCTCAGATTGGAACCTGTCCTAAATTATGCTTCTCAATTTCAGAGAGCTCCACCAAGTCTTCTCTACTTATCTGCTCCACTTCAGAACAACACAAAGGCATAGTGAAACTGATATCCTGGTGACATAAGGAAGAAAATGTTAGCATGGGTAATTCCAAGAAGCCCATATAGTCACAACTCATAAGACTAAAGGAGGCATAAAAGCAAGGTTGAAACTTCACAAATAATAATTACCTAAGATAAATTCACAATTGATTGTTAGGACATAGATATACAGAATGCACAAATGAATATTGAAAGTGTCTATCTGGCCCCATGTTTGTGGGTTATATGTAAATTATAATATGATTTTATAGGTAACAAAAGCTATTTAGGAATGCATTTAAAAAATTCCTACAATTAAAATGTTACAAGTGATGTCGTGGAAATTCTACCAATCAATCCCCCAGGTAAAAAAATCACCTCTAACATAAAAATCAGGTTGCAAAAAGGAAAATCAACTTTATGGACCCTAAATGAACTTTCACATATAAAAAGATGGTTTTAGCCATCTTTGTGGTGCCAAAATGAGATCTTTATTAGTAGCCGCTCAATTCACTTAGCTAACCCATGGCTCAAGCTTTTTTATGTGCTGTTTACTTTGGCGTGCCTCCTTTTCATGATGCAACTCACTGTGGTTGGGCTTGCACCCTAGGCACCCATTTCTCTTGTGCTTTCTTCTTTCTCTCAACTGGTTTACTCACACCACAGTCATGACCAGCTTTGGTACAACGCTTACAGTAGATTGGCTCCCACTCATACACAAACTTCTGATTTATAGTTCTTCCATTAGATCCCTCGATCACAATGTTATGTTTAAGATTCTGCAGATTTTAGCACCTTTCTTCATTACGCATAATTCATTCTAAAATATCAAAAGCAGTCAAGAAAGCCATCCTTTAAATGTAATTCCCTTCACTCTTTGCAGGTTATGTTTAGACAGGACCTAAACTGGCGAGAATCAATCCAAATACTCCCTCCATCCCCCATCAAACTTCCAATTTCTCAAAAATGATAAATAACATTTTGTTTTCAAATTCAAGCTTCTTACTTTCTTACCTCCACACACAAACACAAACACACACAAAATTTAAAAATTTCTACTGACATTTAAACAACAAGATCTCACTACAACTTCTCTTTTAAATACTTGTGCCCAACACAGATAGGGAGTTTAATAAGTAACGAAGGGATTAATAGCTAATTAAATCAGCATCCCACAATCAAATTAGATTAAGTTCAGAAGAAAGGTAAGGTTTAAACTTGAATTCAGAATTAAAAATCCATTCAGCTGAATCAATAATTATGAAACTTCTAATAAATAGAAATTTGAAATGTTGAACAAATCTAGCAATGAATATTTCATAATCTTCACACGTTAACTGAAGATACCATTAATCCTTTTTTCAAATGAAGTGCGCTCTTCATATGTAAAGGCTCAAGGTGCACTATTCAATCTAAAAGCTAAAGAATCTCTCAATCTCTCCAACTGAATTATTATGCTATATTCTAAAGTGTCCCTCCTCCTAATATTGATGGATAGCCATATTTCATAATTTATCTTTAATCTCACTTTGGCTTTGATGTTCACCCTGAAGATAGTTTTAATTATACAAAGGGATGTTGAACCGTTATTCATTAGGAAGCAATAGAAATATAGCATACCAATGCTACTCAACTTTTAAAAAACTACAAATACTCCCTTTGTTTTTTTAAGTGAAACGTTTCTCCCATGCTTTTAAGCCAATGCAAAACCTTAACTAATAATATTTTTAATTATCAATACGTTGAAATTATAACAATTGAATATTAATAAACTATTCATTGAGATGATTCCAACAAATACCCGCAAGACTTTTTTTGTCTTATGTATATATCATTAACATAAGTCAAAGTGGATTTGGTAAAGTAGAAAAGGTCAAATATGTTCAAAAAAAATATATTAAAAAAAAAAAAAAAAACACAAAGTGAGTGATAAATTGAAAGAGCCATGGAGAGCTTGCAAGACAAAGACAAATGATAAACATCTTTATGTATTTAGATTGGAAAAAAGTAAGACAGTAGTTGGAAGAATATCCATATTACAAGATTTACAACTTACATGCTCCTTCAATAAAGACCTTAAACCTCTTGTTGATTTGGAAATAAATGCATTGCATGTGCGTTTGACCTTCCCTGTGCCTTCAACAGCACTGAAGATCACCACAAACTGTGATGTACAAACTGGTAAAAGATATAAAAATCTAAGGATTAGAGCATACCAAATCATAACAGTAACAAAGTGAATATGGGAAGACACAAGATCCTCAACAGAGAAAACACACCCAAACTAATAAAGCCAAATTGCCAATATGCCGAAATATCTTGTTGGTATTTAGCAACCATTGTAAACTATGTCATGTCTATCAATTTAGCCATATCCAATATCTAACTAGGGGTTGATAAAAAATATCTACTACGGGAATCAGGTTTCCACAGATTAGCTTTTGATTGTGCCATTAGATTTTAGAGATATGAACTAATATGCTTCCTTTGTTTTTGTTTGTTTTTTTTTTTTTTTTTTTTTTTTTTGGGGGGGGGGGGGAGGGATTCTCTTTAGTAACATCAAATTTTTTATTTTTCTCTTTGTTGAATTGCAAAAAAATCCATTATCTTTGGTAACATTGTATTATTATTATTATTAAAGAAAACAATTATTTTCAATTAAAATCATCAACCATGGTTAGATTTTTTTTATTTATATTTAATTATTAAACTATTAAGAAATAATTAAAATAAAAAAAAAAATTAAAACCCCAGTCATCCGTTTCCTGGACTAGCGCCCCCCCCCCCCCCCGCACGGCATTCCCCCGGCCATCTGCCCATCGGCAACCTCCCCCTCCCTCACCCCGAATCTCTGCCCCGAATCATAGATGAGGCTTGTGTGCACTGAAAACGGGCGGAGGCAAAGCAGACAAGCAACTTTAAAATACTTTTATTTTTTGCACATAGGATACAAAATCTACTTCAATTTATGAACTAATTAATGGATAGTTGAGAAAATCAAGAGTTTTACGGTTTTACCCAACCATAAACTGACTACTTCACTTGAACTTTGATTAATAATTCCCTCTACACAAACTATTTGTCAACTTTAGAGCTAGTAACACACAAAAATAAGACGCAAATTGATCGCGGCAACCAAGCCCCAAGTTTCGAGCCCTTTTTTAATGCAGATATCACAGGAAAACGAAAAACAAAACAATGCAAATTGAATCATAGTTACCCTAACAAGTATATTCGGAAAAATACAAAGGTTTGCAGTTTTATCTTGTGACAAAGTTCCATTTGTGAAATAGAGTTCAATAAATTCTCTTTTTTTTTATTTTTTTATTTCTGCGTGTAAACCAAACCAGCAAACCGCCACCCCAGACACCAATCCTTTCCATCCTCTACTACTTCTCTTCTAAAGCCTTGTTTGGCTGCAACTCATGCAGCCCATTTTCCTAATCTATGAAAAAGTGCGAGATTGAATTTTGGTAAAACATGAATCAACTTTACAAACAATTCTTCCAAGTGCCGCCTAAGATCTACTTCCTCTGTTTTTTATTACTTGACCTATTGTAAATAGGCACAAATTTTAAGGTAGAATAGGAAAAAAAGTGAAAGACCAAATTACCCCTCTACTCCTACCCTTTCCCTCTTTCCCCTCCACCCAGACATACAGTACATCTCACAGCACAGTTGTGGAGCCATCACTTTACCGCAGCCGCACCACACCACCACTTCACCGCAGCCGCACCACTTCACCACACATTCCCCTTCACCGCCCCACAGAGCCACCACTTCACCGCAGCCGCACCACACCACAACTTCACCACACACACTCCCCTTCGCCGCCCCACGGAGCCGCCACCACCATACCCTTTTTATTTTATTTTTTTTAAAAAGACAACCACCATCACATACATGAGCATTTTTTACGAAATTGAAAGATTGAAGGTCGAAATTAGTACCACCGCCGAAGTAAAGACAAGAAAGGAGTGAGAAAGAAAATACCCATACTCCAACCACCCACACCCAAGCAATTATTACGTATTTGAGACCCAAAACCGTATCTACGAAGGTTGAATTTGGCTGTGTTTGTTTTAGATCTAAATTTGGCGGCTAGATTGGACCACCATAGCCTCGATTTTGGACATTTGGTAAACTTTGAGTACTTTGACGGTGGTGGAAACGGCGCGTAGGTGACGAGAGAGAGTGTGATGAGAGAAGGGGGGAGACCATCGGCGGTGAAGAGGAGAGATAAGGGTGGTGATTGATGTTTAAAAAAAAAATTGAGGTGGTGGTTGTGGTGGCTGCCATGGATAAAGGGTAGGAAAGAGGAAGATTTGGGGTGGTGGTAATCAATGAACTGGGGTTGACTGAGGTGATGAGAGAGGAAGTAGGAAAGGTAAGAGGGTGTAGTGTAATATTATGTTGAATTGGTCATGAGGGTAAATAAGTAAAAGTGTAGTATTATATTTGCCATGAAAGGAAACTAGTCAAGTAAAAAGAAACTTCCTAAAAAGGAATACAGGTCAAGTAATAAAGAACAGAGGAAGTAATAAAATAGCAATGTCTTCACTCTAGAGTCAAGGTAAACTTCTAGAAAATTTGGATCTGTATAGCATAATATCTTGCTATACATGTAGCAGCTTGAGACATAAGTCTCTAAAGGTATAAAATTGTACTTAGAAATCTTACAACATCATTCTTTATGTTCCAGAATAAAATTGCACGGCTCATATTACCATATTTGTATCATTGTAGAACTGAAATGAGAAAGGGAAATGCAAGAGTAGAATTCTAACCATAAAATACATTGCACCCACTCTTCCGTAGCATGTAGTAAAGACTTCTAAAGGAATCCTCCCAAGCTAATTGGCGTTTCTCCAAAAAGTCCATTTCAGCTGCAAATAAAGTGACATAATCCATACCAGAGAAAAATCATGATAAACTGAGATAAGATTGTTTTCAACCTCATGTAAAATGGAGAGGGGATGTTAAAGATATTTGGTAGCCACAAAGACTTCACTGCTCAGCGAATTTGGGCACATTTACCTCCTGAAGATGAGCTCAATACTGATATTACAGAAGCTGGCAATGAGGACTGGGGGTATATCCATGATTGAAAATTATAAGAATCCCCAGATGCTGGAGTGTTTAAAGCAGACTCAATACTTTCATTGGCAGAGTTGCCAGATAAAGAGAAAGAGGATATTCCATTGTAAGTGCCACCCATAAATAACCTGTGAAACCTGAAATTGCAATACATGAGACAACAAACTCAGGTATCAAGGGTGAAAGAGTAAAGTTTCTCTTCCATAGTATGAATGTATGATGTATATTAGTTTACCAACAAGTAAACCATCTTCACCAGTATTAATACACAAATAATTGCAAAGGAAATCAGATTTTCTTACCTGTCCACAGGTGAAGAGGATACTATACGCATGATGGTTTTCAGGGTAAAATCAAGAGGAACTTTTACTCCAGGAATTTGTATTTCTGAACAATAATTTCCCATAGATGTAGACTTTACATCCCCAGACTTTCCAGCTGAACTTGATGGAGAACAAGAGCCAGAACTCTCATGAGCAGCGAGTCCTTTCAGTGCTTTATCCTAAAAATATAAGAGTTATTAACAACATATAAATATCACACAAGAATATTGTAGTAGCCAAAGAAACCATAGCAATACCACATCAACTGTGCCCTGCTCTGTAAATCTGTCACTACCAAGTGAGAGCTCAGCTACGCTACGAAACTTATTTTGAGTGCCTTTTTCACCAGTTTCACACTGTCGTAAAACACAGCCAGTGGCCTTGGCAACTGATACTTTAGAGCTGCTGTAAAACCAAGGGTAAAATAGAACAAATTAGCACATCTTTTCAATATATAACTTTGTTTCCTATACAGAACTGAACCCCCACCCCCGAAATACAAAACCTCTAGAATCAGAAAAATCATACCCATTAAGCTCTTGCTGATTCTTGGGTGTCAAACGTGAAGAAAAAGAACTCTTAAACCCACTTTTTTCCTGAACAACTTGATTTTCCTGCATGCAAGAGATCGAGATACAGACAAAAGTGAACATTATTACTTACATTGAAATCAGGCATCCAGAATAATAATTAGTCCTTATATTCACTCAAACTATACAAACAGTACAGAAAATACCTTAAAATTTGATTTTCCAGAAAGCAAGCTGAGCCTGCTGTTTGGTTTTCTAGCAGGATATACTTCATCAAGACGCTTGTCAATGTATTTTGTATTTTTTGGGCCTTGTGACTTGTTAGAACCAGAGTCCACGACATCTGCATTTCTGGGATAAAGTATTGGTTTTAGTGTTAAAACATTAGAACCAAAAATTCTTAAAAAAAGGTCAAAATTTAAAGGCAGAAGAGAGCCTATAACAAATGAAAACTAAACAAGCAAGTAGAAGGCAGGAATGAAACATACTCTGAAGGTGCAGCAGATTCATGGACAAGCTCCACTGCTATTCTTCTCTTTAATTGCTCACCCTGCAGTACCGAGACAAATGCATGAATCAATAAACCTAAAATTTGTGCAATAAATGCTACACAATTTCTTTTCCAGATTAAGAAGCTTTCCATCAACTTTCTTTTAGCTTACAAGTTACGAATAAGACACACCAGTAAACTGCAGGAGAATTCTTTGTTATACAGACACAATACTAAAATTCCCTATACCTTTTTCAGCAAACCAATGGAGTGACAGTAACCTAATCCGTAATAGAAGTTTTCATAGATGGAAACAATAAATACGCGACAATAATCTTTGAATGTATATAACATGATCCAGTAAAGAGTTTGACTAATTTGCTAACACATTTGTTATCTAAATCCTGTAAAATCTAAAGCTGAATTTTTCTCACTCCTCTAAACCCACACAAATTTCACTGGACTAAGTTAAACACTGTCAACTTCATTTGTGTTCAATACCAAATATGTTACTAAATTCAGCTTTTATCCTCCTTCTACCTATTGATTGTTAATTCCAACCCACGGCACATTTTATAAGTAATCATATCATTAACGGCGAAAATATATATAAATGGAAAACCAACCCTACTACTAAAACTTGATATTCAGAAACTTTATGTTAATAAAATGAATCAAATATTACAACACTTTAAGCAAACTTATGACATAGCACTCGCCTTTATAACCCGATCAACATTGATACTACATCATTTAGAAGCATTCCACCCTCAATACGTTCAAGTACATAGCATCAACACATAGTACAGATTCCAAAGATAAAGTTGAGTTGAAATTAACCAAAGCAACAGCAAAAAAACTTACTCTTAATTCGGACGGCGTCTTTCTCTTAAGAGCAGGACCAGCATTCATGGGACCCCCACAAAACCGTGCCGAATCGGAAGGCAAAGAACCCGGGGCAGCAGCAACTTTGGCAACTTTGGCCATGCTATGAATCCAGAATCACAGCCAGCCCTACTCCTTCACTGCAATTCACAATCATTCAAACTTCAATCAAATCAAACCAAATCAATTCACAAGAAAATTAAAAGTCGAAGAACAGAAAAGGATAAGAAATTGAATAGAAACTGGTCAAGAGTAGTACCTGATTAAATGATTAAATTAGGCGAAAAATTAGGGTTGGGAGAAAAATGGAGAAGAGAAGGGTGAAATTAGGGAAGAATCCGCCCCAAACGAGGGATTTAGGGCGAATCTGGGTAAGAATGAAAAGTGGGGAGGAGAGAGAAAAAGAGGAGGGAAGATGAACAAGGTGAAAAATTGAAATGGGAAAAAAAGGGGGAAGATGAGATGAAGATGAAGATTTTTCAGAGGAAGTGATTATTTGAAGTGCATTTTCATTTCCCTCCCGCCTGCTTTTGGTTTTGGGGGTTTTTGCTGTCACTTGGGCTTGTTCTATGTCATGGCTTCGAATGTTTGATCCGAGCATGTATAAACTATAAAGTGTTCTTTTTTTTTTTTTTTTTTTTTGAAACATCGTAATCCATTAAATTAACTCAATATGTCCGTCAAGCATAGGTGAAATGTCTCACAGGGAAAATGATTTATCCATACTTGTTTTACACCAAAGGGAATCAATGTAGCAAGGTGATGGGCTACAAAATTCTCATCCCTTTTAACATGAGACTAATGCACTAACTCAAAATAACAAGAAAGTGAACAAATATATTCAAGGATGTCATCAAGTTCTGATAAATAAATCATTGTATTTATGAGACGCGTGATCAACGAAGCATTGTCATTCTCAAAAATAACTTTTTTTGTACTTAAACCTGCAAGCTAGCCTCACAGCCATTGCTAGTGCCTTCCCTTCGACAACAGTAGGATCCCAATAGGCTCTGATCCTCCTCATGGCTGCAAAAAGAATAGTCCCTGAAGCATCTCTTGCTACTACACCAAGACCCACCCAACCAGTTTCGTCAATCAAGCGCCACAATTGACTTTTACCACTTCATTCGGAGGGGCTACCTACTTGTTTGGACTCTTGCATCCCCATCGTCATGCTAGCACTCCCATAAATTTTCACAGCGTATAAGATCAAGTCTCCAACAAGTTTTCTAGTATGCTCTACAACGGTATAGTGTGAGACTTCACTCTTTTAAACACCTTGTCGTTTCTTCTATTTCAGATTTTCCATAAAAAGGATGGCACCTTGTAGATACCTAAAAATGTCTCCCTTAAACCAAACGAGATGATGACAACCTTCCACTACCATTATTAGTCGGGTCAAGTATTTAATCTCGGGAGTGCTTTAAATCCATATTTAGTCAAATAGATTCATCACAAGTCAGTCAACAGATCAATCTAAGTATTTAGTCAAAGCATAGTCCAACCCTCATGGCCTCATTTAAGCATAAACCTTTTTAATTCATTTCATTTTATTTATTAATTAAGCCTGATTAATAAATATTATAATCCTAAACCTCAAATAGATCTAGAACAACCAAATTATCACGTGCTTAATGTTAAACAAAAAAGATAAAAATGAATTTAGACGGAATTCAAGACAAGGCATATGACGTGTCACGGCGGAAATTTCGCACCACGGTAGACTTTGTTGTGTCACGACAAATTGTACTGTGTCATTACAATTTGTGTCGTGACACGGTAATTTCAAAGGTTTGTTTTTCAGTAGCGCTTCATTTATTATAGGGTTCCGGACCTTACCCCCCTCATTTCCTCTATACATACGAGGTTGCTTTCTCAATTTCGGGGCACCAAATAATTCGATCTTTCTCTCTTATGCTCTAACTTAAAATACTAACCTCTCTTATTCTTTCACAATACATCCCCTAAGCACTCTCCAGGAGTCTGTACTTTACCTGAGGTTCTAAACTTAAACCGAGGCGTGAAAGGTAAAACTGTTTGAGTGTTTGGCCCCAAATTAACTCTACTTTAATTTAACTTAATTTCCATTATTGTTTATTATTTCCTTGAAACTACTAACGCATTTATTGTTTTATAGTTGCAAGCAAAAGCAATCAAAGTAACGAATCAGGTTCCTTTTATATTTTTAACGATTTTTATTATGTTTTTTCATATATTAATCGTTGTTTTTATGGTTAAATTGCTTCAAATGTTGATATTGATTTTATAATATTTGTTGATCATCATATTGCATGTTAAAGGAATATGTAATTGAATACAACGCCTAATAAGATAATTCGGACGACCGGTTAGGATCCTTTTTAATCTTGTTGTTAATTTAATTGATCACAATACTTAAAATTATATGTTTCATTAACATTCAACCAATTCAGCCTAATTTAGCTTGGAGCACATTGAATATTTGTTTGTATGCTTTTGAGATCGCAGGAATTACTTTTCGCTATAAAAATCGAGTAGAGGCCAATACGGGCGAATTTGACTCCATGACTCACTTCGTACCATCATCCTCGATCCTCCTTTCGTCGTTCCGAACCATATGGAGTTAGTAATCTCATGGATTTGAATGGGGTGTAACCTTCTCGGGTAATCGTTGTGGTCTATCGTTGTCCCTTTTTGTGGTTGCCTTTTAATGATTCGTGAACGGTATACAAGTTCCTTAAAAACTTGTTGGCGGCCTCCTACTTTGCTTTTTCCTTAATCGTGTCCCTAACCGTACGTCAATTCCCACTTCCAATGAGTACCAAGCACATTCACAACATGCTTGGTAGGTGCGCTTCGAATAATGACGCCTACACACCTATGTGGCAACTAGATGCATAACGATCCTTCTGAGTAACAACAAGATCCGCAAAAGACATCCCATCACTAATTATGAGATGCTCACATCCCACTTCTCTTCATAAGTCTTTGGTAGCTAAACATTCAAAGAGCGTGTGCTGCAGAGTTTCAGCCTTATCAAGACACCAAAGACAGCTATTAAAATCGGACACATGCCTAGCCTATAGATAAACTCGCACGGGTAGTGTTCTAACGCAAGCTCTCATCATAAAGAATCTGATTTTTGGTGGGTGTTTCATGCTCCAAATAATCACCCAAGATTTATGAAAATCATCAAGGTTACAAGATTTTCCCAGCAAATTAAATAAGCGTTTTTCACATAGTACCTCCCATCTTTGGAGGAGGCCCAAATTAATTCGTCTCCAGGAGAAAGGTGGCTTAGAGGAATGGAAAGAATGCATTTGACGTCCCTTTCACATAAATTATCCACAATAAAATCAGCCCTCCAATCTTTGTTGCTATCCTTAATGGGGTCTTTAACCCTTTTAACATTCGACACCCGATTAGAAACAAAATGGTTCCCCTGCTCTTCAACCACCCATTGGTCCTCCCAACCCTTAATGCGACAACCGTTTCCAGCACGCCAAATGAGACCTTCCTTTAATAAAGCCTTTGACACCTACATGCCAGTCCAAAACTAGTTACCCGCAAGACCTAAAGTCGAGCCTAAAAACTCAGACGCGGGGTAATATTTAGCAGTCATCACCCGTCCTAACATCGAGGTTGGATTTATCAAGAATCTCTACGATTGCTTTCCAAGGAGGGATGTATTGGAAAGCCCCATATCATGAAACCCCATGCCTCCTAAACATTTTGGAGCACACAAAGCATCCCAATTAATTTAGTGGACCCTTCTCTTTTGACCCGAATGTTCCCACCAGAATTGCGCCGTCATAGACCTAATATCATCAATAACACTCGTTAGGATCTTGTACACACCCATCAAGTATGTTAGAATGGCTTGAATCACCGATTTGATGAGACTTTCTTTCCCAACCCTAGAAAGAAGCTTTTCCTTCCAACCTTGCATCTTTTTCCACAGCTTGTCCTTGAGAGAATTAAAAGTAACCTGTTTTGACCTCCCTATGATGGTAGGAATGCCTAAATATTTTTCATGCTCCTCCATCTTTTCCATGCTTAACAACTCGATCAACTCCTCTTGCTTCGAAACACACACACCTTTGCTAAAAGAGAACCCCGATTGGTAATAATTAATTTTCTATCAGAACACTGCTTCATCTTGGTTAAGAAACGATTTTTTCACCTTTTATAACATTTACTTTAGGAGAGACAATAATTAATTAAAATTTAATTTTTAGTTAACTGGCAACTAGTCATTGTCACATGGGTGATGTGGCATGGGGAAGTGTGCTTAATTATTTTATAGAAGTTACCCTTCTTATATTTTGAGAAAATTTGTTAAGAATAAGCCAACATTTGCGTGGTAATTAGCTCAAAATAAGTCAACTTTTTGATAAATCAATATAAGTCAACTTTTAAGGGATATTTTCTTTTAATAGGTCAAATGACCTACAACCTATCAATTATATCACCTTTTTAATTGAAAATAATTTATTAAATTTAATTAAATGTTCAACTATAATTATATAAAAAAATTGTAAAAAAATTAAATAACATAATTAAAAAAGCCCAGCAACTCCCTCCCCCCACCCACTGCCAACTGCTGGCGGTGATAGACCACCAACCATCCCCTCTTCCCCCCACCCACAATCTACAACTTTCCTCTTTCATTCTGTCTATTTCACCCCTTTTTCGAGTTTATATTTATAACAACAAAAATGAGTTAAATGTGTTTTCTGGGGAAAATTTATCATGTATACGTACGGAGATTTATCTCTTTAATTTTCAACCCAAATTTTAGTAAACATTGATAAATTAATTGATTTTGTTTTTCAACTTTTTCACAAGAAGATAATACTAGAATTGGGGAAAAAAAAAAGATGAGTTTAGAAACAGTACAAGAAGAATCAAAAGAAGATATCCACATTCCAGTAGATATAAAATAGAAAATGTTAGGAGTTGGGGTGGGGGAAGCAAGAATGGGGAAAGGGAGAGTAATAGGGTCGCCGACGCCGGGGTAGGGAGGTGATCGTCGACCGCTGGCCGGGGGAGGGGGCTAGTAAGAAGTGGTGGCTGAGGTTTTTTTTTTCAAAATTTTAAAGTTTTTATGTTCATTTTAATTATTTGATATAATTATTTAATTATTAATTGATTTTTTTTAACATTTAATAGAAAAAAAATCTTAGGATCTGTTCTCTTTACCTTAAAAAAATAATATTAAGTAAAAATAATTTCAGTTCAGTAAAAATAATTTCAGTTCAGCATAATTAATTTCAATTTAGTAAAAATAAGTTCAGTAAAAATCAATTTTCTTAAAGAAGAATTATAACAAAAATTAGTAAAAATAATTTCAGTTCAGCAAAAATAATTTCATTTCAGTAAAAATAATTTAAGTTCAGCAAAAATAAGGTGAAGAGAACGGAGCCTTAGTTAACTTTTGTAAAAATGACCAACCATATAATGACATGTGTCATATTTTACTTTAACAACCGGTTACCTTTTAATCTAACAGGTTTTGACTCATTTTGAAGAAGATATCTTATAAAAATTGACTTATTTTGAGTTAATCGAAAAGTTGACTTATTTTGAGCTAACCACGTAAAGGTTGACTTATTCTTGACAAAATTTTCTAATATTTTATTCATTTCTACAAAAAAAAAAATCTTGGCCCCCTTTCATTCTTCTCCCCAATTCTAGAGCGAAAGTGACCATTTTAGAGGAAAAAGCAAGTTGATTATTCATATTTTGCAGCGATTTCGACCGAATTCTCTTAAATTAAGCTAGGTATACTCATAACTCCCTTATTATGGTCTGTTTTTTTTTGCCGAATTTCTATTTTATGTGGGTAATCTTAGGGTTTTGTGATGATCAAATGAAATTATTTGTTGAATTGTTTGTTGGTTATTTGTAAACATGTTTTTATTGCTCTAATAATGTTTGGATTATTATTTGGCGTTGAAGTTTGATGTGAATTGATGAACGCAAACCTTAATACTTTGAATATTTGAGTGAAACAAGGGGGTAGTGTAGTGTTTATTTAAGCTTCATTCGTTACTAATAGTTGGTTTTTTTTTTTTTTTTTTTTCTTGAAGGAGTACAATGTCTTTTGTAACACTACAAGTCAACATGAGACCATTGGTAGACATTGTCCTCTACGAGCCCTAACCCGCAAAAAATTGAAGAAAATATTAATGAATATCTACCTCTAATTTTTTTTAGTTGCAACTTTGGGGTATTATTTGTGAGATATAAAATATTTCAAAGTTGCAACTAATAAAAATCGGAGGTAGTATAAACATTACTTACAACAATTTACACATAATTATGTTACACATAATTATGTAATAAATTTTCAATTTTATTCCATTGTAGATTTGTAGGAAGCCTATGTGATTCACATGCATCATTACCCTATAATATAATTTATACTAGTTTATGTCTATGTATAACCAACTTGGTTTAGTTTTTGGAAAAATTAACATGATTAATTCCAACTTTGCTTCATCCGCCAATATTAATCCCAACTTTGAATTATTTATTATTAATCCAAACTTTATACTCCTTCCGCTCATAACACTCCTACGTGACTGATTAGCTGTTGAGGAGATAATTTTTTTAAAAGTTTAATATACACATGTGAGCTTGTGATTGGTAAAAACAAAATTAGAAAACAATAAACTCAAAAGCCAAAACCATCAAGGCTAGCCCCTGCCGCGGTACCCACGACTAGCCAATTCGTTGCTAGCCCCGCCAAACCCTATCCCCTCGGAGTGCGGCCGCCGCGAGGACCCCCTTCCCCTCCCACAGTGTCGTGCTTCCCGACCACCTTCACCTTTCCCCTTAAAACCTCACGTAACCCCTCCCCCTCCCCTCCAAAAATCCTTAAGTAACCTTTTTAACCACCGGAAATATCCAACCACACCTCCCCCTCACCAACGTCTTAGCTTTCCGCTGTTGGAGATTGAAGGTTAGAGTTAGGGTATGTGATTTGGGGGATTTCATGGTGATTGAAGGGGAAAGGGGAGGTGGTCGGGGATGCCCCGACACCGGAGGAGGGGAAGAGGGTATGGGTGGCGGATGGCGCTTTGGAGGGAAGGGGTTGGGCGGGGCTGGTCGTGGGTGGCACCGTGGCAAGGGGCTAGCTTGGTGGTTTTGGTTTTTTTGTTTTTAATTTTTAATTTTATAGTTTAATTTCTTTTTTTTAAAGCCAATCATAGGCTGACACGTGTCTTGTAATATGTAATATTAGGTTGAATGACCGGTTGGGAGTGTTATTGGCAGATGGGTTATAAAGTTGGGATTAAAAAAAAAAAAATCTAAAGTTGATATTAATATTGACGGATGAGGCAAAATTGAGATTATCTTGGCAATTTTTTCCTTGATATTGTCAATGTTTCTAGTTTGTGCTATTGCAACACACCCAAAGCTTGTGTCACTAGAAAGTATAAGCAATTTCGCTCAATCTTTGTTACACTAATTATATTCTCCCACCGTTACGAATTACTCGCAACAAAAGGGAGGATTGCAGACTCCTAGGCAAAAGTTCTTAAAGTATAATCATTGAAAAATAAGGGCATGTAATTAGTATTAATCCAACCAATAATAAAAAAATATAATTAAATCAAATCAAACACAAACACAACCACACAGCACCATACCACCACCACCTAGCAGCACCACAATCCAACACCATGAAACCACCCAGCACCACCACCACGACCTAGTAGCACCACAATCGAACCCACAATCAAACCCAAGAACCCACGACTTTGAGCGTCACCACCCACAACCGACGAATTGAACCCACGAACCCCAAAACCCATAACCCTCAACCCACAAACCCCAAACCCATCACCCTCAACCCACAATCGACCCTTGAATTTGAACAACAGACGAACCCACGAATTTGAACAACCGACGAACCCACGAACCCCAAAAACCCTCAACCCAGAAACTTGAATTCGAACCAATAACCTCAAAATCCATAACCCACGAACCAAAAACCCGATCCCATGAAAACCCATACACGAATCCAAAACCAAAACCGTCAGATCTGGAAAAACCCACAACGAAAGGGTGGTCTTCTTCAACAATTTATGAGAATGGGGTTGGAGGAGAGAATAATAAAGGGATGAGGAAGATGATGAAGAAGGAAAAGAGAGAAAGATTGTGGAGAAGATGAATTTAATTACTATGTAGATTTAATTAATTATGTTTAAAGTATGTAATTGAAATTATAAAATTTTATTTAAGGGTGTTTTTGTAATTTCATTTAAAAAATTTACTAAAAAAGGAAAGATTTGGATTTGTTGCAAGTAATGTGTACCGACTATTTATAGTAATTGTTGCAAGTAATATGTAACGGAAGAAGTACTTTATTTGGGGTAACTGTTATTGCGTAGTAATCATATGTTTTGTTCCTATGGAACCCTACATGATACTCCTCCAAGGGCTTCAACAGCCTTCACACAACATAATAGTCATAATATGAAATAATACTGCAATTAAAAGAGAGAAATACACCCTTCAAAGCTGGAAAGGTTTTACTGCCTTATTAGTTTGAAACTGTGAGAGAACAACAAATATATGATTTCATTTTTTTCACTCTGAAAGTAAAAAATGAGCACCAATTTAACATAATACATGAATCTTGAACTATACAGGAGAATTTGTCAAAATACCTACCTCAAATGCTAAAATTTCAGAAAAACCAAACTGCACACTGGCCTATATCACATGATTTTTGCTGAAGAACCAGCTAAGCAAATTTTAACCCCAAACTTTTCAATGGAGGGTAAAGGGGGAAAATGAATCACAAAGAACGCTGCACAAATAACCATATTCCATAAATCCAGAAACAAATGTTTATCTAAACGCAAGCCCGGAAATGCAGCTCCTAAATTGACAAACTCGCTACAAGTTTGGTAGCTCAGCTTATCGAATTTGCGTTGATGAAACACATCTCCATAGTTTGGAGCGTGGGTTTTTATCCAAAAGCAGTAGCAGACCCACATTATTCGCCGTCAATTCAAACATGTACCTGTTATCATCCATAAAAAATTAGTATATGACAGAAAATAATTAAATACCATCAGATGCAAAAGAGACAGAAATAACACATAGCAAAACAAGTGAAACTAGACCAGTATGAACAATTAATAGTCTGATGTTCGCCATATAGATGATACAGCATACATGGTGATAATGTTCATACTAAAAGAATAACAATCTTTTTATATTATCTCAGAGCTATTGGCTCTGCTCTACACAACTATCTCATATGTTATCTCAAAGCTATTGGCTCTGCTCTCCAATCATAAATTCCCACAATTATCAACAAAGAAATGCAAAGCTAAAAATCTATCATCTATTGACATTCTTTACGCAAAAAAGGAAATGTGTAGTTATGAAACAAAAAGGATAATAAATAAATCCACGGAAGACCAGTAAATAACATAAGCTAGGGTAGTAAAGTAAATAATAATATCTGTTTTTTTTTAAAAAAGTTTGCTAGACTTTTGTTTGTAATTGACCACAAAAAGACTCTAACCAAATAGTCCATCTCCTTAGTTAGTTCTATTAGTCTGAAATATGTGTACAAGCTTAGATGAATACAAAGTCCAAGTGTCCTTAAGGTAGAATCTAATAAGAGTAATAACAAAAGACTGATCATGAATACGAAGTTGAAAAAGCCCTCAAGGTTGAATCTAATTACAAGAGGCTCCAACCAATAAGTCTATCTCCATTGTTCTGTTCATAGCTTTCAATGAACCATAGAAATACCCAGGAAAGAAGAAAAAAGACGTTTACCAAAATTTATTAAATTTTGTATTTGTAGTAATAGGAAATAAGCAGAGAGATTGAGCAGAGAGATTGAGCAGAGAGATTGTGCAGAGAGATTGTGGAGAGAAGACAAATCATTTAAACCTAAGAGTGTAGTATATATAATTGGAGAAAAAAGATAAACCAATCATCCATAACTGAAATGTGAAAAACTTACTTGCTTTGACGTGATTTCTTTCTCCAGAAAATGAAGGACATGATCCACTGAAAATGAAACATGAAAAATGTAAAGGCTCCAACCAGGAAAGAACGGACTGGTTCTACATGACAAGGCACACATAGAAATTAAAATACTAATTAATAGTATCTATATAATTCCTAAAATTAAAAGGGAAAGATATGCTACCGCATCCACGTCACCCAGAAATCTAAAGATGGCATGATGCCACATCCTTGGTGACGCAATTTCAATACTCTATTCACACTAAATATGTGTGTCTATGGACCCACAACCTTTCATCTAGATGTAAATAACTTATCAGCAAATCTATACCATACTATTTCTTATTTGATCACAAAGACCTATAATATTTTGTAGTATCTAAAAGGCAAACGACTTATTTTAAGATTACAACCAAATGAATCTAGAAATTGATTAGCATGTAAGATCTAAAAATTATTTTCATTAACATTTACAACCAATCATCACAACTTTAGCTATCATTCATCAAGTATCAACAATTTTGTTTGGTTAAAAAAAAAAAAAAGAATTAAAAAAAACTCATAAATGTAATCACCCTGGGAGGACCAATAACTAGTCAGTTGAAACATAAATTTCAATAGATCTTCAGTTTTGGTAAAAAATATACTGTATAAGTCATTCAACATCTTTAGATCAGAAAGAAGCAAGCAAAATGACCCTTAAATTGCATAAAAGCTTAAATGCAATCCATGCACAAAAGCACAGAAAAAGAATGACAGCTTGCCAAAGGCGATAAGAGAGAGAAGCAAACAGAATAAATGAATATGTGCTCATCAAAAGTGGTGTTGGAAAGCAAATTTTGTTTACACTTTTCAATCAATTTATCTACTAGCCCATCAAACATCGATTTATTGATATTTGAAACAGAGCACAATTTTTACCCAATCTGAAAGTTTATATCTCTTATACATGACAAAAAATAAAGGACTGGAATGTCATGGCAAACTAAAGCACATTTGAACACAAAGTAAATGGAGAATACTAAAACAGAATAAAATAAAGCAGAATAAAGAATGCTTTGTCAAACTGTCACATACAAAATTTAACACTTAGTTGGAGTTCTTGAGATAAGGAGATTACATTCTATCTCTAGATTTACAATCCCATGCATGTTTATTAGTTCAGATAAAGTTACGAATTACCACCGGGGATAAAAGGTAGGGTTAAACACGTTGCATGTAAAAATGTACATGCAAGAATTTGTGTGAGAGAGGCAGTTTACAAGTATAGATCACTAAAGCCAAAAACAACAGGCCTTCAGTCTAACAGCCTGAAATATCATTCTAAAGCCTACAGTCACGGTCACTTCCTAAGTACACAATATTAACGGAAAACTAGAGCAACCTTAAAAAGAGAATTTATGTTTTGCTGCTTTTTTACTTGGCTGTACGACAGAAACTACAGTCAGATAGTGTTCCCATGGACGACAATCAATTAGGCTAAACAGCATCACTACACGTTACACTTAATACTTACGTATGAGGTACCCTCAATTGTGTGTGGTTATTAGTCCATTTTGTTTTAATTTTACAAGCATAGTCTTCTGCGTCTTCATGTTACATATATTCAAGGTGATACAAGATGATGATAGTACGCTTAAAAATTACTTTGAACAACAGAGGGTAAAAATGATAAAGTCAGTGAACGAGATCAGCTATACAGCCTATATTACATTACAGTTTTGCTTTCATGTTTCAGGGATCATGGTATAGATAACTGACGAAAACAGCAGAATTACACAATCACGTGAAAAACAGACCAAACAATTGTATGGACTGAGGATTACCTTAAAAACTGCAGTTATGGAAAAGCTCCCAACAATAGATGACTTTTGAACAGGCATATGCCTTGCAGGTGTCATATCTCTGCACAACTGTTGAGCAATTTCTTTAAGTAGCATAACCTGTGCTTTATCAGTTTGCATTGACATGATTGTCTGCCTCATTGATTCTCTATCAGCCTCGAGAGCCTGAAGTCTCAAGTATAGCTTCTTAACCTCAGGATCTCCCAGGTCTCCACGACCTAGAGATCTTGGTGTTGATACATACTCATCACCCAACTTTGCAGCAACCTTGGGCTCCATATAATGGTTATAAGGTGCCCCAGGATGAATAGAATCAATAGTATAAACTCTATCACTCATATCATCTTCATAATCAGATGCACTGTCTGAATTTTTTAATTCCTCAGCTACACAATCAAGTTTTTTAAAACTGGTACCATATCTAGGAGAATCCATTGTGTGATCTGGCCCCAACACCGAACCTGAGCTGTCAGTAGAAATCCTCCTAGAATGTCTAGACCGCCTTGGAGACTGACCAACGACAACCTTCTCAAGAACATTTCTAGAGCCAAAGTCTCCATTTATCTGATCATCCTGAGGAGTTCCTTCCAATTGATTGATCCTGTATTCCAAACTCCTCAGATCTTGAGTTCCTGGAGTCTCAGAAAATGGGTAATTTTCAATATCCACAACATCATCTTCAAGCTCTAATTGCTCTTGAGATCCATACATACTGCACCTTAGTGGAGGATAGGAAAAGTGTGAGTCACCAGGACCTGCCAACTCACTAGAAAAACTAGCATTGCGACTATAATTTCCCTTCAACCCTTCTGCCTCTGATTCTGTCAGGCCGTAGCTCATCATTCTGTGCTTATAGGCCTGAATTTCACATGTAAGGGACTGAATAGTTTGTTCTCTTTTGTATAAAACCTCCTCCAAGGCAGAAATCTCTTGAGCATCATGTGACATTTTCTCCTCAGCAAAACGCTTAAACTGCCTAGATTCCATTTGGACCTCAGCCTTCTCCCTCTGCAGCCTCAAAATCATGGACATTGTCTCATTAGCAGCAGAGGAAGCGGCATTCCTCTCTTCCTCCAATTCCGAACACAACTCCTGAATTGTAGCCTGCTGGTTGCCAAGCGTCTCTCGCAACATTGCACATTCTTTTTCAATCCCAACACGCGCAACAGGCAAAACATCAAGCCCCGGGATGTAAAAACGGCTGCTCTTCTCAAACTCATTGTGTTTCCTCTTCACAGACCGTAACCAAGGATCATTCGACGAAGAGCTAACTGTCAAAGAACAACTACATCCACAATCACAACATTGTTCTTCCAGGCTCTTCGAAGGGAATGACACAATATCTCTATCCATATATCGAAATCCACACAAAATTCCGAATGCATTCAAACTCGACCAACTTATTCGGCCGAGTTTCTCTCCCCCTTAACCAAACCTACAAGTTAAAAATTCAATCAAAAACCTAAAAACCCCTCTCTAATTCCATTCTCCCCTACCTCCTTCCCCGGGTCCTCAATATCGACAATTCGATATCGAAAAATCACCAATGTACCCCCCAATACCACCTCTCCTCAAACAAACCAAATCAACAATCCTCTCAGATCGTCGACGTGAGCCGAACTCCTATAAAAATCAACATTTAAACAAAATTCAAAATCCAAACAACAAAACTATAATAATAACCATTAAATACAATCCATATGCAATTAATTAAACCTAATATAATACATAATCCAGCAAAACAATAAATAACAATAAAAATTCAGCTCATAAAATCAAATTAAAATATCAATAACCTAATCAAAATTGTAAAATTCAAAATGAAACATTCAACAACACGCATTCATGAACAAAAATAAAATACATTTGACAAATTCAAACAACGTGACAAGCAAAATTAGGAGTCGAGAATAAAATCGCGTACCTCAAAAAAAATAATAATAAAAATTATATCAATAAATCCAGAAAAAAACCGACGGTTAGGTGAGTGATCTGAAAGCGCAGAAAAAATGGCGAAAAAAAATTTTTTAGAAAGAGAAAGAGAAGAAGAATGAAGGTTTCTCTTTCTCCAAAAGAGGAGAGAGAAAGAGAGAAGTAGAGAGAGAAAGCGAGGGAAAATGGAAAAGAAAGAGAGGAGAGAGAAAGAGGAACGAAAAATCTGTCGAAGAAGATGAGAGAGAAAATGGAGGAAAGAGAAAGAGTTTTATTTGTTTTTATTTATTTATTTTTTTTTTAAATTTGGGAACCCTAGGATTAATGTTTTTTGGTGTTAAATTATGATATTTTTTGGGTGTTATTTTGTTTGGTTGGTTGACGTGATGAGACTGATGATGGGGAGAGGAGGGGGTTTTGGGGGGAAATCATTTGTTGGGAATGGAGGTTTGCTTGGAATGAGCTATAAATAACGTTTCACATATTCTGATAATCACATTCTCTTTTATATACAGATAAATCAGTCCGTATAAAATTTCTGTATACATAGTATTTTATGTTGTGTTTGTTAAGTGTTACAGTATGATCGATTGATCGGTTGATCGGTAAAGAAGTAGTATGTGAAGGTGTAGGTGTAAATGTGTTATAGTGTAACTGTGTAAGTGCTAAGTTGGATTGTGCGAATCACGTAAGTCTAGATCTGATATTTACATGTTAAGAAAAATTGGTTCTAAAGATTTTTATTCCTTTTTAACCGGACCGACCATTTCCTTAACTGTTGAACGTTACCAACTCATTATATTAATCATTTAGAATTTATTGAGCATCTCCAATGACATACATATGTAAGCACATGCTTGCAAGTTGTTTATAATGTCTATCAGAAATTTTACTTGTAACTGATACACATCATGCTAAACATGCTACAACACATGTAAATTTCAATCATATAAAACAATATATATTTATTATAATAATTTATGTAAGAAACGGGTACTGTAACTAACAATCAAGAAAAACTGTGTCTTTATATTATTCTACCATATATATCTGATTTGGCAAGCCAAGCTACAAACCCTAGTCTTATGTGAAAATAAGTTTCATCAAAAGAGTACTCGTAATATATATTGTTGACACTATGACGAATCACAAAGAACCTTGACATTGATGGTACAATATTAACTAATAAGTTACCACAATTAAGGAATATATTCAAAAATAAACCAAATAAACCCGCAACATCCACAAAAATAATAATCAATATAAGTTTATAGTACCATATTTTGTTCAATTTTTTTTTAATTATATTTATTAATCAATGTATCCTATTGTTAAATTGTCAAAACTTTTGTAAACACACTTTTGTCAAAGGGGTTCATGTAAAATAGCCATTAACAACTTAATCCTTATACTAATTATAGAGTACAATTAGGAAACAACTGTAAATTATTTGTTTATAAATCTTTATAGAAGGTAATACCGTAATAGTATCTTTCATCCTTTACAAAAAGATTACACCATCTTGATTTCTTGCATATATAGTATGTCACAAGATTAAACCAGCTATTTTTTTTTTTTTTTTTTGAAAAGGTACTGAAGGCTCTTTAAGAGTGAATATTTCATAGATCTATAGCACAATTCAGAACTCAAACTGATAAGTTACTTTTCCTTACCTACAAAAAAAAAAAAAAAAAAAAAAAAAAAAGTTTTCGCCTAAAAATCGAAAAGATATAATGTTTTGCCGTTTAGGAAAAATTTGGGAGCAATTTTTGTTTTCATGGATGAAAATAAAATGTCAACATAAGATACAATTTTTAATTTTATAATTTAAAAATTATTACGCTCCTATTTTTTGAAATTGAAATTCATAATTTCTTGGATTTTATATACATAACCTTGTGATTTGGTCATTCCTGTTGTAAAGAGTAATACAGCATAAGCAATAATCTCCAACGTGTGCTGCTGTAATATGGTCATCCAGCTTGTCCCACAATCAAGGAGTAATCAATTTTTTCAATTTCTAATTTTCTGTCCTTATATACTTGGTCTTTTATTTTACTTTCAAATTTTTATTTTGATTTTTTTAAATTTTTTTTTTATTATTATTTCCATAAAACCTTAATGGGCCGGGTTGAGCCCGCTCATCAGCGTGATCCATCATTAATTTTTTGTAAGGTGGTCAGTGGCAGTGTGCTTATTAACTTTAAAGCAATGATGGCTGGAATAGTTATATGATAATTTGATCAAAAGAGAAATTATATGATGATTTAATTGTGATGATGATGATAAGTTAAATAATGTAATTATTTGTAATTGTTTATTAATAATCACTTAAAGATATCTAAATAATGTGGGCATATAAGTAGTGTAATTATATTCTTGCAAAGTTGCAATCAACTACTGTACTAACTAAACTAATACGGAGTATTGCATTACTTTACTGATGATAATTTGATCAATTGTTTACTTTGGTGTAAAAAAAAAAAAAAAAAAAGGGTGTTAATTAAGGCATGATTCTATAAACAAACAATATTATTCTCACAGGGGTAGGTTGGTCATTTATGCGGGATTTAAATTTTACCATTGTAGATTCAGTGGTACAAAGTACACTCTTAGTGGTACAAGATATAATTTTAGTGGTATTTCAAAAAAAGTTCAAATGTCTCATTAGGCTGTCAAATAATATCATTATGGCTCAGTGGTACAAAATACACTCTTTGTCGTACTCAATACAGTTTCAGTGGCACTTACAAAAATCCTCAATGGTACAAAATATAGTCTCGGTAGTTGTGGTCCTAATTCTTTTTGTCTTTTTTAGCATGTGAAACTATTTTTGACGAAAAGGTGGCCCTACCCCACCCTTTTTTCGCTCTCTCTTCCTTTCTCCCTCTTCCTAGTACATTTGTTATACTTCCTCCGTTTTTTAAATATTGCACCACTTGCCTTTTAAGGAAGTATCACAAATACTGCACCATTTCTATTTTAGGAAAAGAAATACTTGTGTTCACACTACAAATACCAAATATACCCTTACTTTTCAACACTTAATTTTTTTATGTATACAATCACATGGGCAATCTTGTATTTTTACCTTTCTCTCTCATCCTTTTTTCCACTACCAAAAATCCTGTGTCAACCTCCTATGGTGCAATAAAAAAAGAACAGAGGAAGTATTATTTTATGTTGTGAGACATTTTATTTTATCTCACAACCCTCCAAATACACTTCCTCTATATGCTCTATTGCTCTAGTTTAGGAAGTTTAAAAAAAAGAAAGTTTAAAGAGAAGTGAGACTCCGGGAGCTCTCTTCTTGTAGGAATCGAGTCAGGGTGTTCGTTTCGCCATTAAGATTTAGTCTTAATATTCCCAAGTTAGTGCGTTTAGTCAAGTTCAGTCCGTCTAGGGTCTATTATGGAGCAAGTAGTAGATATGGATATAATGTTAGTTCAAGAAGTTGATTTGGTGGATAGGTCAGTCACTAGGTTAGATAGTGGAACTAGTAAAGATTCTCCAGCCGTTGTTAATGAAAGAATTAGCCAAATGGAAGGGGAGGAGGCCATGCAGGTGAGTAGTAATGACAACGACATGGTAAAGGAGTCATCACACAAGCCTTGGTAGAGAAAACCAAGGGATCGTTTAGAGAAGCAGTTACTAGGTCTAGCCAATGGTTTATAGAGGCTAGGAAAACCATGATAGAATCCCAGGAATTGGAGGATGGAGAAGAAGAGGTGGTTACTCATGCTCATGTAGTTAAGTTCCCTAAGAACAAGTTAATGGAGCTTAGGAAGCCTTGGGGTTTAACTTTGATTAGAAAATGTTTAGGATTGAGAATAAGGGTGGAGTTCTTATCTCGGCGGGTAAGAAGGATGTGGAACTCGAAGGGAGGTTTAGAAATTATTGAAATGGAAGGGGGAGTTTATCTTTTTAGATTTACTCTGCATGATGATTTGGAAAAGCTTTGTTAAGAGATCCTTGGTTCATTATTTTTTAACATAACCTTATGTTAGCTAAGTGGAAGCCTAATTTTAGACCTTCATCGAAAAATTTCCAAAGTATGTTAGTTTGGATTAGATTCCCTGAGTTATCGGTGGAACATTACGATAAGGAAGCCTTGTACATCATAGCAGTAGTGGTGGGAAATCCATTGAGGGTGGATTATTCAACAGACAAGATGAATAGTGTAGATACGCTAGTGTATATGTCTGGAAATAGATTTAATAAGCAAGCCATTAGTTACTAAGGTCTGGGTTGGGAAAGCTCAACAAAAATTGGAATACGAAAAAATTCATAGCCTATTTTTCAGTTGTGGGAGAATCGGCCATGTTAAGGAAGGATGTGTATAGAAACATAAGCTAAACCCTCCACAGAAACAAGACCTAGCAGCTCTAAATCAGAATAGAGTGGTAGGTGAGAATATTACAAACATCACACAACAGCCAGAAACAAGAGAAACCATTATGGAGCAGCTTAGAAGTAGAGAGTTAGGAGGAATTTGCAGCAAGAATATTCAGGGGGAGAGGCCCAATAACATTGGGAAGGAGGATGCAAATGAAGACAAATATGGGCCATAGATGATTGCATCCCAAAACAAAAAATATACTTCCTCCGTTTCTATTTAGATGACACGTTTGATTTAGGCACACATATTTAGGAGAGTGAGATAAATATGTGAAAGACAATACTACCCCTACTTAACCTCCCCCTTCTTCCTCCATGTGAGCCACCACCAGCCCACCCCACCTTCATCTACTAATTCTACTCCACCTCCACCACTACCTAGATGTACTTCTCCGGCACCACCCTCACCTTTGTGCACTACCTTCGTAACATAAAACCCACAAAAGTACAAAATAAATATACAAAAAAAAAAAAAAAATCCCCAAAAGCATTCTCAGCCCCAACTATCAATTTGTATAACCTTTAGATCTCAAATACTAGTAAAGGTACATGACAAGGATGACAAAGATGCTGCAATCAAAGTTCCAAAAATTTAATTTAAAAATTTAAAACAATAAATCTCATTTCTACACTTTGCTTACGGGAAAGAAATTACTAATCAAGCCAACGGAATCGAAAGAGGAATGACGAGATTGATGGAATTGAGATCTTAATTTTGGTTCAATCCCATGGCAATGATTGAGAGTTCTGATGGGTTGAAGGCAGAAGGAGAAGAGAGAAAGATGTAACGTCTGATGAG